GGGGCAGGCTGGAATTGTAGTCGCCTACCCATAAATGCCATAGCCAGGACTTCTATGTTCACACCAGGTGCAGCACTGTCGTCCTCTGGGCATTCGGCACGGTGATCTTCTTCTATCCAGCGGACAACGTCTGCGAAATCAGCAACCGAATAAGGGTTACAATTGTAGGCAAGGAGACATGCATTGATGGCATACTACGCACAGCGGCCTCGCTGTAGCGCTATGACATCGTTGGATTCTGCGGGTTGTGCTGGAGATTCGTTCACAGCAGGAGGAGATTCGTTCGATTCTGCAGCTTGCACAAGTGGAGGAGACTCGTTGCGGTCTTGACCAATTGGCTCTAGTATGCGCTCCGGAGAGAGACGATCTTCAATCCGGGGCTCCATCAGGTAGCCAGAAGACGGGTCAATGTCATTTGGGGCAGGGGAAGAAACGGGGCTAGTTGGATGAGAAAGGGGCGGGTCAGGGGGGTGAGAACTGGGTGGGTCAGATGCGGAAAACGGAAGCTGATCAGCTGCACKTGTGCTCAGAGCGGCTGCCAGTCGTGCAAATGCTGCACAAGTAGCTGCACCTCGTGTCTGGTGCACACGGAAGCCTGCAACACTGAAGAAATCATCCCCACATTGCGAGCATCGGACTCGGCGTGTACTATTCCTGGCTACTGTGCATCGAAGGCGACGCTGTCGTTCCGAACGGTTGCGAGCATGTCGGCGGAGCAAATCTCTAGTAGCCGTTGGAGGCGCGGTGATCAAGCCGTTCACGGCTAGACGAGGCCGCTGTCTTGGGGACGGCGGTGGAGACGAAGAATGGACCCGCCGAAGAGGCATCTGCAATGGTTGGTCCAATGTCGTACGCGTCCACCGACTGGGCCTTTGTCGTAGCTGATCCGACCATGAATGTGATGATGGTGATGATATGTTGAGGTTGATGACGATGATGCTGGCAGCGACGGCGGCTGCGATAGTGGTGCCGAAGGCGGTGGGGAGGGTGGTGGTGATAGGGCAGGGGCCAGTCGTGGTGATGATGATGGCGGTGGTGGTGGCAGAGGTGGTGATGGCGGCGATGGCGGCGGTGGAACTGCCACCGTATTCGTAGGATGCTGGCCCTCCTCCCTTGCAGCCACTTCGGCCAAATTTGTTGCGATTGGTCCGGTCTCCTGTCGGGTTGGCGTATTCTCATTAGCATTTGGAATTTCAGCTGTGGAGGGCTGATGTTGGTCGGGCTGCGGGATGTTTCCTATTGCGTGCGGTTGTGCGAAAGACCTGCGAACAGAATTTGCATTCGGGAGTGGGTGGGCAATTGCCCAGCGTACCATGCGCCAAAACCAGTTCGAAAGCCGTGTAGCATGAGTGGGTAACCGGCGCTGCCGGCCGCGCACGTATGCATTCCAACCTCTGGCCAGGACACTGGGGGGATGGCCTCTAATGAGCATTCGTCGTGTGAGGGAAATCACTGCAGCCTTAAAGTCGACAGTATTGTTGCAGATGTGTTCAAATCGTGTCAGCTGCCCTGTGAGCACACCTGCAGGCTGATGAGCTGGGGCATTAGAGGAAGCGCTGGGGTAGCGTATGACAGGGAATGTCCAGGCCTCAGCCTTATCAAAGACGCCGATGCGAAGTGAGCCATCTGGCCGAACCAGGATTCTTGCCCCAAGGAAAACACACGACCCATCTTGCTCAGTAGTGTCCTTCCACTCAAGACCATATCGAGCAGGAGGGGGCGGTAATGTCTTCCAAGATAAGATGTCATCAATGAATCGGTACGTAAATGCATGTGCTTGCGCAGCGCGTAGATCCTGCTGTCGTAATTCATCGATGAACTGTGCTTCATCCCAATAAAGCGTAAGGTTGGCAATTTCCGGTCCAGCGTTAGTGCCCATAGGGATGCCTACCACCTGATGACGCAGAGTGCCATCCCTTGAGTAGAGATAAGTGTTCGACACCACAAACCGCAGATGTTGTTCTATCTCTGACACGGAAAGGGTGTCTGATCCATGTGAAGTAACCCACTCCCCGCGATGCGGACCTCCTACAGTCATGTACATTTGTACTGGCCTTCATCCCTGCGGGATACGCAACAAGGCGTAATCATGTGCTTCACAAACCGCATTTAGGACATTGTTAAGAATCCTATCATGTGGCAGGTTAGTGTACATGGTTGTGAAATCTGCCGTATGGGGCGTACAGCCTCGAAGGGATGGTGCATTTTTGATGACTTCCTCAACACTCTGTACGATCCAACAGCGTCCTACACCTACTTCTTGATAAAGCTCATTGTCCTTACTGCGCAGAGACTTGATCACGCCTTGGAGAGCATAGCTAAGTGAGCGGGAGGCCATTGTTGTACTGGCAAGAGGCTTATGAGGGGGTCTGTTATGCAAACTGGAGACCGAAGACTGGCGAGGTATTGTGCGAAGTGAAGACTGAGAAAGGTTGTTTTGTTGAGTAACACCGAGAATT